AAGTAGGAATAATGGGCAAAGCATAAAGATCTGAGTGACTAAACTGGTGAACCAGCAACGGGGTTACAGGCACCCAAAGGCTTATTGATGCATGTGGCGAGTGAAGATTAGCCCATCTGGTCCAGTATTCTTGAAATAGAAGAGTTCTTATTGCACAAATTGTTGAAAAAGGTAATGCTGGCTATGATAGAAAGGTGTCAGAACACACAATGCATCACAACTTACTGAATACAGGGATGCTTAGACACAGACCAGTCAGAGTGCTTATGCTGAACCTACATTGGGCATGTGAGCATCAGATCTGGACCATGGAGCAATGGAAGAAGGTGGCCTAGTTTGATGAGTTACATTTTGTTACATGTGGATGGCCAGGTGTATGTGAGTTGTTTACCTAGTAAGAGAGGGAGGCATAATGAGAAGAAGGCAAGCTGACAGAGGCAGCATGATGCTTTGGGCAATGTTCTGTTGGTAAACCTTAGGTCCTGGCATTCATGTGGATGTTACTTTGACATGTATCACCTACATAATGAACATTGCTGTAGACCGAGTACACTCCTTCTGGCAACGTTATACCCCAATGGCAGTGGCCTCTTTCAGCAGGATAATACGTCGTGCCACACTTCAAAAATTATTCAGGAATGGTTTGAGGAACATGAAAAAGAGTTCAAGGTGTTCATTTGGCCTCCAAATTCCCCAGATCTCAATCCAATCGAGCATCTGTGGGATGTGCTGGACAAACAAGTCCGATCCATGGAGGCCCCACCTTGCAATTTACAGGATTAAAGGATTTGCTGCTAACATCTTGGTGCCAGATACCACAGGACACCTTCAGAGGTCTTGTGGAGTCCATGCATCGATGGGTTAGAGTTGTTTTGGCAGAATGACGGGGACTTACACAATATTAAGCAGGTTGTTTTAATGTTATTGCTGATCAGTGTACATAAGGATGATGTGGTCAATAATACCACCATGCACCAAGTTTCAGAGCACTAAGCATTTGGGATATGTGAGAAACTGTCACAACTGTATGTGGGAGAACTGAACATGCATTTCACTTAAAAGCCAAAGAAATGACAGCTGCCAATGCAGGGGCAAAAAGCAAATACAGCATTTGGCAGGAATGGGCAGTATTTCTGATACATGTAATTAAAATATGTATTTAAAATATGTATTTCTGACATTTTAATGAATGGTCATTAGTGCCGATACTTGATCACTTGTGTCAAACCTGTTTGTGTTTATGGTTTTTAAGATGTTGCTGAGTGAGGTGCTGAAATTGCGTTTGTCATTTTTCATCTTAAATTTGTTTTGTGTTATTTGCATCATTCTGAGTTTGTTATTATTATTTATTTTCATATTTCTGACATACCATTATCTGGGTGGTCACATAAGTAGCTGGGATATATTCGACACTTCAGAAAATTTGTTCTTTTGCTTGGTTTTACATTTATGTTGTCTCTCGTTAAGCAGTGAAAAAATGTTGCTGTTGTGCTTGGCCATTTGAATCAGTACGTTTACATGCAAAGCTAAGTTGAACTGTGGTTATAGCTCGACTACGCCATTTAAATGGACTACTGTCCTTGGCTCAGTATACATGCACGAGAGGGCAATCAGTTTATTGATCCGGATACCCCTGCCCCCAACTGATTCACCACCCATGCAATCTCAGTGAGACTGGGTGGTTCACAGCTGATTGGAGGATCAGCCTCAAGAACCATGGACCCAGAGATATCCAACGTCCTAGCTGGAGGGTCAGCTTTAAACAACTGCTCAAAGTAGCCGGCCCAGCAGGTCACAATTGCAGTGTCATCCATAAGGACCATTCCATCATCTGCCCTGACTGCAAGTCTCCGAAGGAACAGATTCTGATGTGCATAATGCTTTGATTCCTCTGTAAGCAGGATGTGGGTCACTAGACCACAGATGATGTGTCACCTGCTCACAGATTCGTCTAACAAACGCCTCCTTCTCTGTCCTCAGTGCCCTCACAGCCATTCTCCTCTTTTCCTGGTACAGACTGGAGGTGCCACCAAGTCATGCGCTGCGACTCCTTTCAATAATATACTGGGTGCCCTGCGAAATGAAACAGCTCCCTCTGGGAACACTGGCAACAGCAACCTTCAGGGTCTTTTCACAGAAGGTATCCCACATCACATTAGTGTCAGCAGTCACACCCAAATCTGCAAATTCCTCAAACAAACTGCGTGCAGACTCATCAGAAACAGCTTGATCTTGGAGTCTGGCCAGCTCCAGCCTCATTCTCCTTGTAGGTGGTAGGCTACTGGATCTAAGCTGAATCTTCAGAGTAGCAACAATAAGTCTGTGGTTAGAATTCACATACTGGGCACTTCTGTAGACCCTGCAGTTCTGCAGGAGCCTCCAGTGTCTGCCTACGAAGATTTAATCGATCTCCTTTGCCACACCACAAGTATTGGAGTACCAAGTCCAACAATGCAGCTCAGGGCATTGGACCCAGGATCCAGTGACCTGCAGCCCCTGATCTTTTGCAAAGTCAAGGAACATGGAGCCACTCTCACCCTGGTCTCCAGGCCCATGGGGACTGACACAATCCTCATAGCCAGGTTTGTCAGGCCCAGCGGTCACAATGTTATCGCAAGTCATCCATGACCAGAAGAGTGTCACCTCCTGGGCACCCATCACCCACCAAGCAAAGTTATGAGTAAAATGTCTCCCTCAACAAGACATCACTCACCGCAGTCAGAGCATACTGTGAGACAACAGGCAACACACCCAAGGAGTGCCTTAGCTTGAGTCTCATAATACGCTCATTGAAAGTAGTGACACCATCGGAAGGAGCCGATCTGCTACAGCAACAGCTACTCCTTGAGTATGGCAGCCATGAGACCGACCAGAGCAAAAGTAGGTGTACCCACCTACAGAGATCTGACCTCTCCCCAGTCTGCGTACCTCAGAGAGTGCTGCCACCGAAATGTGGAGTTTACGAAGCTCCCCCGAGAGCAGAGGAAGATGGCCAACGTGCCGGAGAGACAAGACATTCCACGCACCTACCCAGATGGGCCGCCACAAACTGGGACCCAAGTGCCGCCATGCAGCCTGACGACGCCTCAGCACCACACCAGCCCCAATCCCCAACAGGCCTGACCCTATTAGCTCTGCGACGATTTTTTCTCCAGAGATGGGGCTCCCGAAGGCTTTCCCCCATCGCCTTCATGGTGCGTGCAGCCTTCCTGTGGGCAACTGCAGCCGAGGTACTCCCACGGAGAGCATAAGGGTATCGTGCCTGTTTATTCCCAGCTGTTGTGAGTTGTTTTACAGTGGCTGGAGTGCCAATCCCACCACCAACCCCCAAATTTTTTTCCTTCAGTTGGAGGACCGCTTGCAGGACCGGATGCAATTTAACGTCATACCCAGGACACATAATTCTGGCATAACAAAAAATAAAGTATTCTGTATAATATACCATGACAGCAAGGTGCTGGAATAATTTCAAATAATGCAATGTGATTTTGTTTTAATAAATCTTGGGGTATTTATGAGACATTAAAGGAGTTAACAAATTTCTCACGAACCTGCCTAGGAGTGATTTAAACAGCAAGGATGAAAATGATTGTGATTGTCACAGCAGAAGTAAAACTTTAAACTGTATGCCCTCAGTTATACTCCACAGTTTTTCTGTTACTTCCGGGTCAAAGCCCGGGGGGATGGGGGTTGGAACTGTGGGGCATGTGCAGAACACCTAGGCCAGTTCGAGGTCGATTGAACGTATACATGCAGGAGTAAACCCTGGGTATTTAAGTCTGACTTTGAGAAATGTGATTTAGTATGATTTCAATCACACTAACAAGTTAACATGTACTTTAAAAGTCTGGTTTGAGTCGGACTAACACAATAATTTGATTTTATTAGTGTGCATGTGCTTGTGAATGAACAGGTTCATATAGAAGTATGTGAAATGTATTTTTGTATTTGTATATAAAATACAAAATATTGCAGTTTATTTTGATAATTTGTTGATAGCTGTATATTGTAGTAGTTTATTCTCATACACTTGCAAGTGGGGTATTTTGTATCAGAATACATTTTGATGTTTTTTTGTCCATCTCTGGCATTTTGACATATGTTCTTGTACGTAATGTTGCTAATTTTATTCACATCGTTATTCATTTAGCTGGCATTTTTAACCAAATCTTTTTAAGCATTTTTTTCCTGTTTGCATATCCAGATATTTCTACAGAAGCCTATCGGAAGGCATGATAGTGAATTGCACACAAGACGACTTTTCTTTTTAGAAAAGGGACGGGATTTTAATGTAAACAACTCATGCTTCTTTGAAAGGCTGAACATTTTCCTGACACAGCTGTAGCACTCCAGTGCCTGGGGCTATGTAGGGGATTAGTCCCCCTCAGGAAAGTTAGCATGATTGTTTGTGACCAAAAAGGGCCACTCAGGAGGTCAAAAGGGAGGCCCTTTCGATTGTTTGGGCCAGGTGCTTAGGCAATGTCCACCCCCCCAGCCTGTGTGCCCCTGTCAGTGACACTCGGCTCCAACCTTCCCAGTCTAGTCTGACAGCATCCATCTCTGCTGCCTGTGAACTACATCAGGTTTAACCCCTTGTGCCCAGTAAGGTGACGGTCCAGCATGTGAAACACTCCCCAAAAGTTTCAGATCATCTCGTTCTTCCCTGCCTGGCTTTTGCTGTAAGGAGCTGGCTTTTAAACTTTCTTATGTCTACGGTACTTCCAAAGTCACTTTGCCCAGACGTGCACTTCTCATTTCTTTTTTTACCCTGGTGGCCACGTAAGTTGTCACAAAGGGTCCCTGTATATAAAGTGTAAACATTAATGCTTATGGAGTTTTAATGAGGGGTTCTTTGTGTTGTATGAGAAAAGTAAGGCCACTCTTTCAAAATGCAAACAAGTCCTGCGGCAGGGGGGCGGGCTGCCCCTCCTCCTACTCATGCTGAAGGAGCATTGGCTGGCTGCGTTGCCCTGCCCTTTGGGCTCAGCACAAAAACAGCTCTTACTAGCTCCCACATGGACACTCCGGCTGCTGGAGGGAGTGAGACGGGAGACGAGGAGCAGAGAGAAAGAGAGACTCTACATTCGTCTCGACTTTAATGCCGCAGCAAACCAAGCTCCGCACTCCACATAAGCTGCCTCTTGAAGGTACCCAGACTGTTATTTCACTTTCTGATCGCACTCTTCTTACGGTTAGCTGGTGTCTTCCTCAGTTATTTTGACTATCGTTCCTCACCTTTTATGGGAGCTCTTCTAGCTAGAAAAGGCTGCCACAAAAACAAGCTCTGGGGGACCCTCTCTTCTCTGCTTCAGTGGCTGCTGTGTTTTTTTGCACAGTTCCTGTTAGTAAAATGTAGGCTAAAGTTCACAAGCTTAGAAGCACTTCTGTTGCCGGAACATGTGCATCTTCCTCCCTCAGCAGCCATACAGCTGTGTGTTCAGATGTTAAATGCAGCCAGTTTGTAGTCGTTTGTGTGGTTTCTAGAAAAGCAGTTTTTGGTATCAACAGTTTGACTGGTAGGCAGCTCTAAGCTACATGAATGTGACATGATTTCAGATTGTAGGAATTACTTTCACTCCAGAAATGCAATAATGCGGGGGTTTGCCAAGAAGGTCATGAACTAATGACATCACTGTTATTATAAACCATTTAAAGATGTATCATTATATTCAACCCTCATCACATCTTTTATCTTTATTTAGGCAAAAGTACCTGATTTATTTAGATTTGTGTAAAAAAAAAATTCTGAAAAGTTTTCAACAGCTGCCTAAATGTCATTCAACCCAAAAGTTCATAAAAGTACTTGTAACCGTATAATTTTTTATTACATTTAAGTACAGCATGTTTTTGTAGCGGGCTGCATGGTAGTGCAGTGGTTAACGCTGTCGCTCTGCCCTGTGGGTGCTGGATTTGAGTCTCCACCATGGCTCCATGTGTGTGGAGTTTGCATGTTCTCCCTGTGTCATCGTGCTAAGGCTAATTGCCCATAGGTGTGCATGTGTGAGTGAACGGTATGTGAGTGTATCCTGCAGTGGGTTGGCGCCCCATCCTGAGTTGTTCCCTGCCATGTGCCCATAGTCTCTGGGATAGGCTCCAGGCCCCCCACGACCCTGAATAGGGTAAGTGGTTTGGGAAAAGGGATGGATGTTGTTTGGATCTTGCAAGCTGACTTGTTATAGTTCCCACTCCTCAATCTAGTTATTTTGTACTTCTGGTTAATATGGAGGACTTCCGCTGTTCATTAATTAGAGGCTGACCTCATGGATGAGCTGCAGCATGATGGACTGACTTCCACAAGAGACATCTTGGGCAGATGTTAGCTAAGCAGAATTCAAATCCACGACCCCTGGTTCTGTAGTGTTAATTGGTTACCTGACAATCCACTCAGCACAATGCCAACATTAATTTTAAGATAACTGTATCCAAACATAAATGGCTATACATAGAGTTAAACACAAATTATTCTCATTATTTATATTTCTAATCTATATGGGTGAGATAAAGTCTTTGCCCATGCATGTGCCTGCTTCTACTTGTGTGTACAAAGGCAACATTGAGAGCCAAATTATAACACAAAGCTGACTGTGCCTGCCTACTCTCACACTCTGCTGGGACCACCATGTGGAATTTCAGTATCTCTCTGTGTTGGCTGGCAATCAGTCCTTTTGTTGACCCTCAAATAAATGTAGACCCCAGTATGAATTGAGCTGGTAGTGCTGATCTGTATGTGTTACAGGTTGTAGAGAGCAATAGTCCAGCCCTGGAATAGCTTTTCAGAAGATCTCTGAAGCATCTCTCAAGGATTTCTCTGTGAACTTTGAGCTGGTGAACCCACTGGACAGTGACCAACTGTTTTTGTATTGAGCCAGCTGGCACCAGTCCTAAGCAATGTCTTAGCCGTAGGTTCAGAGGTTTTGCCCCTGTTGCTGATCAGATCAAACCACCACAGTATTCAGTCATCTGGGGCTGTGATCTTTCTATGGCAGAGCTGCTAGGAGTGCCTGTAAATGATTGCAAAATCAGCAACTTCTCCGGTGAAATATTAAATTCATCATGACATTTAAACATTCTTGTTACGTAATACATTTATACATTCGTCAAATTATCTTTAAAGGTCATTCTGTACTTTTATTTTGAAGTTCTTACCACATTAAAAGCTAACTTGTCACCCTTATAGGGATAATAGTCATAGTGGTCATAAATAAAGCAGATGGACATGAATAGGAAAGTAGGTGAAAGGGTGTTTATTTTAAACTGTGAAGCTTTAAGCACAACACACTATCAGTTTACACAGTTACTACATTTGAATAATAGTATTTTCTTATTAAAGTGGAGTATTGTTAATAAAACTGCATTTGGCAACACCAAATAAATGAAATTTGTACTATTGTGTACATTATATTTCAATATGCATTTCTTATATAATATAAAATATAATATAATATAATAATTGGCTAACGACTGACAAAACTTTAATCAGTGTAACACATATGAAGTTAAAACTGTACAATAAGGCCAAAATTTAGGACAAAAAAGTATGTGCTGTCCAGGGGCAATTCCAGGTGATCCCCCACGATAAAGTTTGCTGAGCTGTGGTACTATATAAAATACAGGACAAATTCCTAAATGATTTAAGAAAAACTATTTTCCCGGGGGGCTGACACAAAAAAGGGGGGCTGAAGCCCCACTAAATTGGGTCGAGGATCACCTGTGTACCATTGCCATTCTTCCTGAAAAACCAGTTTGACCAGCTTAAGTGGTCAAGCTGGTTGACCAAAATATGATTGTTGCCCTGCTTACGGTACAGTGTATGTTTCCGCATTATGGTTTGAACCCTCCCAGCTAGACCATCAATGAGCAGCAAAGATTGTTACATGACCATCTATGACCAGCTAAAAACAGCTACCGGCAGTTTTCAGCAGAAATGTGCATTCAGACCATAGACTGCTTGAATAATAAATGTCCTTTTTACAATTATGACGTATGTACTGTAATGTTACCATGCAGAGTAATTTTGAAAGCAGAAGTACAACAACACTAGTGTTACTTAAGTGAATTACATTCATTTTTTGCATGGCACAATTAATTAGCCGCTCAAAGCAATGCAGACTTTTAGTAAGTTTCAATATTTCCAGTTAATTGATTAATCTGTACAGAAAAAAGGGTCTTAAAACATCTTCAAGCAAACCATGAGTCTTAGCAGGTCTAATCTAGTACATTTGAACGGCAACCTTTGTGCCCACAATATGATAAGTGAAATTCCGCATCATAGGTGTGCATGGCTGTTGTCCTCAGGAATATGAAGAAAAAGTGCAAGCTGCACCTGCAGTTCAAACTGGCCGACCAAGATAGCAGCTTGGCGCCTCCCTCTCCCAGTCCCCAGGCGCGGGGCCAGTGGGCCACCAAACTGGAGTTCCTGCTGGCTGTGGCGGGACAGATCATCGGCCTGGGAAATGTGTGGAGGTTCCCATACCTGTGCTACAAGAATGGAGGAGGTAAGCAGGAACCCCAAAGAACATGGTTACTGTCTTCAACACCATGTAGATATATACATTTTTTCCTCAGAGTATCATAATTGTGAAGATCACAAATAAAGAACATATGAGAGATGGTGTGGTTCTGGTGAAGGTAGAACACTCGGATTGATGGGGATAACATCATATTAACAATATTATCTTAATTGGTCATATTTCTTTAGAGTGTAGTGTGAACTAGGTTTTGCTGGTAGTATGTGGGCTTGGACCACAATCCAACCAAAAATAAGTCAGAAGAGACAGGAGGAAGAATGGATAAATATTTAATATGTTAATCATTGTATTTTACAGAAGTGTCAATAAATTACAGTGTTGCAGTAAAGAATAACGATGGTGGGCTAATCCATGACAACAAAAGGAAAAGTTAGGTCGCACAGGGTATAAGTTGCAATGAGGGTGGTTCTCCTGCCGAATCATGGCATTGAACTGCTGATCATATGAAAGGGGAAGGAGGCAGCCAGCCCTGACAGATTTGCTTGGAAACCATTTTCTACTGTTTACTGTAAATACCACTTACATTTTGAATATGAGAAGGATTATTTCCAAAAGCAGATCAGCTATGAGGCCTGCTACTTTTTGTATTATGTTTGCAACAGCAAACCCTGAAGGGCATAGATTTGGGTATGGAGAGTAGGGACCAAGTTCCAAGCAATGTGGGTGTTTTGGAGAGGGGGTGGGGGGGGGGGGGGGGGGGGCTGATTGGCACTGATTTGGTCCCTATCGTTGCATTGCATTTGCATCCTTGCATCTTGTGAACAAAGGGATTGAGCAGTAAGATGAGATCAGTCAATCAAATTAGTGCAAGTCCATTGAAGACTTTAAAAGATATGAAGAAGGACAGGCTTAAGGACCATTAAGGCCAGAAAAAGTGTCTTCAAGAGATTGTTATGCTATCTGTCCAACACAGCATAAGTAATAGAAGGCCAGTGCCTTCCTCAGCACAGTTTGTCATCCAACCCAAACTCTTACAGCCTGACAATTAATTAACTCGTTGTGTAATATAAGCTGAATGCTCCTATAACCTCATTCTTCCCAGGGGCATTTTTCATCCCATACGTTCTGTTCCTGTTCACCTGCGGCATCCCCCTCTTCCTGCTGGAGACCTCCCTGGGCCAGTACACCAGCCAGGGGTGCGTCACCTGCTGGAGAAAGATCTGCCCCCTGTTTGAGGGTAAATATTTAGGGTAACCAAAACCAGTGGATGATTTTGTTTGTTGCAAAACTGAAATCTTAAAGGGGCTTCTGACAGATGAGCTCCCCAAATAATAGAATCTAGCCCTCTCTGCCTGCCCTGACATACCAACGAGCGCTAGATCTTGAAGAGTTTTATGGTGAACTTAGATCCAGTTTTCTAGCATTCGCTTTTATAGTTGTTTATAGCCATTCAATTTATATTAATAATTTATGAATGACATGAATACATGAATTGAAATATTAGTGTTATGTACTGATTTTAATTCATTTATATGCTTTTTATTCAAACGTAGTATCATTCCAAGGTTCTAGAAACCTGTGTATGGTCTATGAAGGTAGTGCAGTAAAAATTTAGATTAATGTACCAATGAAGGTGTTCCTTACATACTTTGTATATGTTCACCTACCCACATCTCTGTGCTTAGGCATGTGTGTTTTTCTCCACCATCCACAGGATTAGGCTATGGGAGTCAAGTAGTGGTTTTGTACTCCAGTATCTACTACATCATTATTTTGGCCTGGGCTTTCTTCTACCTCTTCTCTTCCTTCAGTTCTACACTCCCCTGGTCCACCTGTGGAAACTTCTGGAACACAGGTATTAAAAACACTGGTGCTACATCATTATTGAAACACTACAAGTGGAACACAGGAAATCCTGGTAGCTCATTCTTCTTGGAGCCTTTCAGAACAGTATAACGGTACTAGTGCCACAGAAAATGGAAGGCATTGTTAACCATAGCAATAACTTTTCCTGTTTTCTATCTGACACTTTCAGCCACCTGTGTTGATTTTGAACTGAAAAACATATCGAAAAACTGGACATTTGCCGAGAACGCTACGTCACCAGTGCGGGAGTTTTGGGAGTGAGTTCAAAGAGGCTTCGCATCTCCAGCCACAGCCACACAAACTGACATGCCGAGTGGCTGTGCTTATAATGTCAACAGAGAGACCACCGATAAGTGGAAGGTCATAGAGGTACCAGGGCTGTGGCTAGGAAATTGTGGGGTCACAGTGTGCATTGTTCTTCTGTCTCATTTCTGTGTAGGAAGGGAAACTAACATGAATGTCAGAGTGCAGATAAAATTGTTTGCCAAATCCTGACATTTTCTGTTCCAGGAGACGAGTGCTGAACATCACAGACAGTGTCCATAACCTTGGGGTGATAAAATGGGAGCTGGCTTTGTGTCTCCTGCTGTCCTGGATCATCTGCTACTTCTGCATCTGGAAGGGTGTGAAGTCTACTGGAAAGGTGAGGGATCTCACCCCCCCCCCCCCCTCCCTGCATCCCCAACTGGACATTCCTACTAGGAATCTGTCCAAAACACTGTACTTAAGGATCAGTTCCTGTTCTTCAGGTGGTGTACTTCACAGTCACCTTCCCCTACGTGATGCTGGTGGTGCTGCTGATTCGGGGGCTCACACTTCCTGGAGCAAAAGATGGCATCATATTCTACCTCTACCCTGATCCTGCCCGACTCACAGACCCTCAGGTACTGGTAGATAGAACTAATGTATACCAAAATCATCACTGTGATACAATAGTGGATTGCTAAATGATTATACATTGAAAGCGTTACATTTTTAGAGCTTAAGCTATATAAATAAAATAAATAAATTACACAAATGCACACATTTACACAGATTACACATTTAAACTATTTTAAATGTGTTTAATTTATTATTGTTCAAGTCTGTACTGGAGCCATCACAGAAAGACTCTGGTCTTCATATGTGACACTGTTCTGTGTTCATCTCCAGTGTACAGTATAATGTGATTGTGCTGATACCAAGACAGAGGAGTATGAGCAGAAGTAATTGTCTAATATTATTCCAGCTTTGAGAAAACAGACTCTTTATACTTGCCATTCTTAATATTTTTTACTGCTGCAGGTACTCCTCCTTGGTATATGTGGCTCTTTTGTGCAATGTAACTGATTGCATCAATTTGACTTAGCATGCTTGATAAAACCCGAACTTTTTGTTGGGCCTTAGGTATGGATGGATGCTGGGACACAGATATTTTATTCCTATGCTATCTGCATAGGCTGCCTGACAGCCCTGGGGAGTTACAACAAGTACAACAACAACTGCTACAAGTGAGTGCAGCGTGGAGTATGGAAAGGAGGGAGTTTGCAGCATGGAGTATGGAAAGGAGGGAGTTTGCAGCAGGAAGTATGGCAGGAAGCGAGTGTGCAGTGGGGAAAGGAAGGAGTTTGCAGCAGGGAATATGGAAGTAAGGGAGTGTGCAGAAGGAAGTATGGAAGGAAGGGAGTGTGCAGCGGGAGTATGGAAGGGAGGGAGTGTGCAGCAGGGAGTATGGAAGTGAGGGAGTGTACAACAGGGAGTATAGAAGGGAGGGAGTTTGCAGCAGGGAGTATAGGAAGGAGGGAGTGTGTAGCAGGGAGTATAGAAAGGAGGGAGTGTACAAAGTGGAGTATAGAAGGGAGGGAGTGTGCAGCAGGGAGTATAGAAGGGAGGGAGTGTGCAGCAGGGAGTATGGAAGGGAGGGAGTGTGCAGCAGGGAGTATAGAAGGGAGGGAGTATGCAGCAGGGAATATGGAAGGGAGGGAGTGTGCAGTAGTTAATGAAGGACAATTTGGCAACATCATTATTCTTATATGCCGTATGTATCTACAGCCCAGGGTGTAAGCTATAAATTCTGAGCCCCCTTGCAAAATGTTACTTGCCCCCCCCCACCCCCACCCCAGCTCCTCTGTACATTAACTTTAGTTATTCAAGGGCCCCTGAGAAGTGTGGTTCCATGAAGCTGCCAGGTATCCATGCCCCTATTGCACCCCTGGCACAACTCAGGTTCCCTTGAGCTTCCTAACATCAAAGCTTCTAGCTTCTGACTAGTGATTGAAGAGAGTATCTTTTGTTGCAGGGACTGTATATACCTGTGCCTTCTGAACAGCACCACCAGCTTTGTGGCTGGTTTTGCCATCTTCTCAGTGCTGGGCTTCATGGCGTATGAACAGGGAGTGGACATCTCCATGGTGGCTGAGTCAGGTACAGCATGCTGAAGTCAGAACCAGTGCTCAGACATTGTATGCACACTGTAATCTCTTCTGCAATGCATTTTCCCCACAGGTCCTGGGTTGGCATTCATTGCGTACCCTCGAGCAGTCGCCATGATGCCCTTTCCCCAGCTATGGGCTATCTTCTTCTTTGTCATGATCATCTTGCTGGGCTTGGACAGTCAGGTGAGGCATTGTTAGGACATCAATAAGTCCGGTTTCCCAATATTCAACCCAAGTAAGCATAATGTATGTTTGTGCTTGTTTGTTCTCCCTTCTTTAATCTCACAAATGAACATTCTGTATTTATTTGATTAACATACTACTTCTTAGTTTGTAGGTCTAGAGGCTCTCGTTACTTCCATTTCGGACATGTACCCTGCCTTCTTCCAAGTTGGACACCGTCGAAAACTCCTTCTCCTAATTATAAGTGTGGGATGTTTCCTCATTGGCCTGGTTATGGTCACAGAGGTGAGAGGTCATCTGTAGAGGTCTATAGTACCTCTTCCAAAAGTTTATAGGACCTATTGAACCTGAGTGACCTGCTTGGAGCTGAGAAAACTTCTTTGCAAGTGTCCACCGTCATCTGTTGTTTATTAATATTCGTACCTCTTGCCCATAGGGTGGCTTGTACATTTTCCAGTTGTTTGATTACTATGCCTGCAGTGGAATGGCCCTGCTGATTTTTGCCATCCTTCAGTCAATATGTATCGGATGGGTGTATGGTAAGCTAAGAATAAAAAGGGACCCATATCCCTGATACAAATGAGACAAATTACCATTTTAAGACTCTTACCCCTTAAAGTAACTTCTGATGTTTTCCTGCAGTTGCCCATTGTTGTTGACTTTGTGGCTTTGTCTTTTCTTGACAGGTGCAAATCGATTATACAACAACATTGAGGATATGATTGGTTATCAGCCACTGCCTCTGATTAAATACTTCTGGCGTTATGTTACCCCACTTATCTGTGCTGTGAGTATTTGCATAGCTGGGAATGGAGCTGTGAATGCACACACACACCCACAGCACCTGATATCCACTCCATTTGGTGTCCAGGTGGACATTGTTTGCTCATCCCAAAACTAGAAATCCATGACATCACCATCAGTGTTACCCTGAGCCCTGCTGCATAATTATTACCATTCTGTCTCCCTTCATTTCTGTCTTTTAGGGCACCTTCATCTTCTCCCTGATCAAGTACACCCCCCTCAAATTCAACAATGTTTATGAGTACCCCTGGTGGGGCTACGCCATTGGTTGGTTCTTCACCCTTTCTTCTACACTCATAGTACCTTTCTGGATGGTATATGTCATGGCCATCACCCCTGGATCAATACGGCAGGTACGATCATTTGCACACCCAACAGGGATTTTCATTCTTTCTTCAATCATGGTGCAGTATGAGTATGACCCGTGTTCTTCTGGTACCAGCCCCATTTTTTAAAAATAGTTATTGAATAGCCACTAAAGTAGGTAAATACATTATACACTAAACTATTAACTCAATACATGTAAATTGAACCTAGATAGCTACTAGCTGGATAACACTGCAGTCTTCTCTTAACTTAGTGACTAATCTATGAAATATTTTTTAGTTTGTTGGAGTTCATAGATGGTTTGATGGGTTTCAATTCCCGTTTATAAAACTACTTTAGTAATTGAAAATGGGTAGAACTAGAACTTGCACAGCCTTACAAAAGTTTGACTATCAACATTGCAACAGACTGGTCTGTAGAGAATACAGCTGCGGGAGGAAAATAGTAATTTGTACAGGTCATTGTTACGCTTTGTGTGATGCTTTTGTGCGGCCTGCCTTAATGTATTGATGTTCAATTAGCTATAAACATGAACAAACTGGCAAGGAAAAAAATCATCAGTGCAATGAAATAAATAGTGAAATCATCCATAAAGGTCCTTTAATTATTATTTACAAAGATTTATAATGAGCTTTGGTAAAGATCTTGCAGGCTGCTCTCCACCTTGGACTGCTTCATGACCTCATGGTCCACCTGCAGTCTGCATATACTGTACGTCTTGCACCACTGACAGGCTCCTCATTCAGTAACCTCTGATGCTGACGGTTTCCTTTCTTTATCCCAGCGACTCCGTGCCCTCTGCACGTCAGCTGAGGACCTCCCCCTCACACGTGCACAGAAGGAGACACTCTTCCCCACTCCGTACCAACCTGGAAAGCTCCCTGGATTGTACAGTACCTGCGAGACATTGGGGCAGTATAGCCTTCCCCTGGCAGTCTAGGCAGCAGTCTAGGCAGCAGTCTAGGCAGCAGTCTAGGTCATGGCTCTGCACTGACGTCGCCACCTTTGAGGAAGCAAGGTGGCCAAATGCTGCATTTTATTTGTTGGACTAATATTGTTAAGAAACTGGACTTTTACACTGCTCTGACACTGAAGTGTCGTGGACCAGGGATCACTCAATTGATGTTGCCGGGATGTAACTATGGACAACTTCGTCAGTAGGTGTGATGCACAGAAAAGCACAGGGCTGTTCAGTCCGCTGACCACCAATGTTCACAAAAAACAAAAAACCTAAACGAATAGTCTTGACAGAAGTTTGCTCCTTGTGTTGTTATTCATGGCTCACTAACTCCATGCCTTTTAGCAAACATTGAAACAGCCATTGTTCTAGGTGATGATTGATTCAGGGGTCTGGCCACACTATCTCGCAAACTCAACCCCACTTATCTGCCTTTTGTCATAATACACTTTTTTAGAGAAAGACGTTTATTCATTTATTTATAGTTTTTAGTATATTAATTATACTGTAATCATAACATGGTGATAATATTTTCTAATAAAAATTGGTCCAATCATCATTATCATACTTCGGCCACCTGTGATGGTGTGGCATTTATGAATATAAGCTAGTCGATTTAATTTTCAGCAGAGAAGCCAGAAAAGTAATTTGGTCATTACGTAGTGAAAAACAACAGAAATGGTGCTCTCCATGTTACTTGTGTCAAGCATGTGGGATATCTACCTCTGTATGTTTTTTTTTTTTTGAGAGCAGGAGCCTGACACGTGGGGCTGGCATGTCAGACCTGCTCTCTGGTTGGTCTACCCAGTCATGCCATTGTATCGACCCACCCTACCAACTACGGATGTCTAACCAGCCCAGCGCCCCAGACTTGAACATGGCAAAGGTTAATCCGTAGCAATGCTGTACCTGGCTTTTGCATGCACTCCACGCTTCAGAATGTCTTACCTTGCTTTTTTTCAGAGAATGTGTGTCTTAACACAGGAGTTCAGTATGTGGCTTTATATGTTCACCATCCATAATGCCTGAAGAGCGACAAATTGTTCAGATAGTTTTCAGTTTTCAAAACAAACAAATGTTACCTAAAACAACATAGGAAAAATGACTACAGAAGATCAAAGACGAATATTTCTCTGATTATAGACAGCCCAAGTCGGCTTCCACATTATCCCCGGTATGCAAGACTATGGGTGCCGCCGAAATTGCATACTTGCACAGTATGTACTGAGTATCATCAGAACCCTACTACTCAACCATTAATGCAGTATGTACTGTATCTATGCAAGAGAACAGTATGCATGCTTTCGGATACATTGTGTCTGTCATCTTGTATATTACCTGACCCAGATGTTTACCAGTGACGAAGCTAGACCCTTGCGAATGTTAAAAACGGATAAAAACAAGTAAATGAAAAAGAAATACGTGTTCGAGTCAACTTATGCAGCTGGGTATTGTACTTAAATTTGTATAGAGGCAGCACTTCGTCCACCATCTTGACGAACATTTCTTAGCAAGTAACATTCTTATTCTCTGGTTGCAGCTCCAGTGGCCTTCTGGGACATTTTGCAGAATGTAGTATGCCATCTGGGTACCGTTTGCCTACTGTCTCATCCATACTGAGGATTCAGCAGAATGTAGTATGCCATCTGAGTACTGTTTGCTTACTGTCTGACCCATACTGAGGATTCAGACATGCTGCTCATGTTGCATGCTATATTTCGCATACTACATAGCAAGCAAGAATGCAGTTTCGAACGTACCCTATGTCTTTGACCACAGTGGTGTCGTTTACATGGTACCAGTGAGCTAATTCAGTGTCTGAGCTGAAGCCAATAGTAGTTGGATCAGCAAGGATAATTGTAAAGTAAATGAGCTCACAGATGCCCCCATCTGTCCTACTGTGTTTCAGGAGTTCGGGTGTCACACGATTTTACATCCATGTTCTTATGCTGTAGCTTTATGGGTAGTGAAAAGATATATTTTTAAAATTGTTACCACCCAATGACCTTATTATGGATGTTATATTTACTTTGCCTTTTGGCTTACTTGTCACCAAACATCCCTGGCATAATTACAGTATAGGCATTTGTTCCATATAGCAAGCATTGCCTCAAAAATGCAAAGAATGTATAGCATTTGTATTGTCAAAAAAATGTGTAATTTATTACCTAATTGTTGCACATTTTTGTACATACTTGTCCATTCCCTGGAAAATCAGGACATGCCCTTATTAGGTAATCGTAGAAGAATCACGTTTGTTGGTCATATAGGTGTTTTTTGTTTGTTTGGACTTGTTTGGACTATTTTATGCAGGATGGCCTTTAAGCCAGCTTTCTAATGCCACAAACATAACAATATCATAAACTGCAGGGGGTGCAACACTGATCTGCATCGCCCTCATCATGTGACAACACCTCTAACTGGAGGTAGATTAGAAATCTTGAAAGCACCACTGAGAAGCATGGCGTCACCTGCAGGATGCTCCTTTTGTCTCTTTTTCATTGTTTTTCTCCAGGGAAAAGGCAGAAACAGCAGTAGCAACAGGATGAGAGAACTTTTGAGAAAGAAGGACTGAAAGCATACAGAAGGAGAATTAGGGACAGAGTGAATATTGGTATTCCTATAATTCTGAAGTTTTACTTCTCCGTTGTTGATTTCATTTCCTTATCACTGACAGAACTAAATAAATAAATCATTTATTGTTTGCACATCATCTGCGTGTCCTGTATTCTCCAGTCACAAGAGGCTCCATTCTTAAACCAGTCAAAATAAATATTTCCAGGAACAAGAACGACAAAGATGAATTTATGCAAGAAATATATATTTTTAAATCAAGTATCTTTTTCCCAAATAAAAATGAGAATAATTTTCTTCGGACGAATTCCTCCACAGAAGCAAAAGAAAGTGTTGAGTTACATCTTGCGGTTGAGGCACAATACCTCAGTCACTGTTGTTGTTTTGTTGGGCTGTTAACTCACAGGTCTGTCCCTGTACTGCTCAGTTTCACTAATGCTAAGCTTTTACTGTACAACCAATGGAAATAGGTATCTCTCTAGACTCCAAACACTTACAGGCAAGTAGGTCTCATCTTCATAGACATGGCACGGATTGCCTTAAGTAAAGATAAATACATTAAAATATATTGCAAAGGAACTCAAGTTCGATAAGGTACTGACAGAACGAAGAACCCATCTTGTGGCCTCAAACAGAAATGTCGCACAATATGTCCAGACATGCAAAGTTCTGGCCTGAAATCTCTGCTGCAAAATGCGCCTCCCACCTGCCCGCAGCTGTTCAGTGGAATCCCAGCTGGGGGGCCGCGCTGAGACAGCGGCATGGTCTGCACGTGCAGCCGTTTGGTTAACCTGTGCGGCACCACGCCATACTCCAGGGCGGGAGACAACGATGGCAGTGCTTCTGCATTTCGAGTACAGAATGGTAACAACAGCCAAAGGCTACAGTACAATGATAAACAGTACTTCGATTGTCCTCTTTAGGTACAGGGGTTGACTTCTTGCTGCATCTGCTCGATGTGTGTACGCAGTGGGGGGGGGGGGTTTGCAGGCCTTCTAGCATTGGTGGTGGTATCATATGGAGTTGGAGGGTGAGGCACGTGCTCCCGATACCAACAGAACCCAACATTAATCGATCAAAAAATTATTGTGGAAACTGGACACGACGTGGACCAAAGAAAAGAACAAGGGTAGGAACTGATTACATGTACTGAGTACATGCAGCTTTGATTCTTCACTTTGTATTATCAGGCTCTCATGCAAGACATGTCTGCGTGTCACTGGTTCTTCTAGCTGAAGAAACAGAGCCCCCTGCTCTACCACCACCAACCCCCAACCACCTGGCTATAAAAAGGACAGACGGACAACCCGACCATAATTCATATTGATCACAGAAGCTGATGGCCACAAGCAAGTTGAGCAGATGTCTCCTTACTTGTAAATACAAGACACCACTGGTGGGTCTTATGGCACTGGTAGGTAGTGAGAAGCAGGTTAAATTAGTGAAGGACCGGCACAGCTCTTATCCCAAAACTTGAGAATGCTTCGTAGTTATGTAAACCAAAGCTACAGACATTAAACGCAATATGGAAATGACAAAACAGGTGAAAGGAACACATGTGGGGTGGAGTTTGCTGTTGGATGTGAAGAGGGAACATGTGCAGCTTTCCTCATGACAGCAGCAGCTGTGCGGATCTGAGTGGCTACCCCTGACTGGTGGCTAAAGCTTTGTAGTTTGTCCTGCTCCTATATAAAATGAACGAAATGCACACCTCTCTGAAACAGTGGTCAGAAAAATTGTGAAATCATCTTGTTGCTGGCAGAAAGGAGGAAAAAAAATGGGGGCCACCCCCTCATCAACTGCTGCATCTCCCCAATGAAGACATGCACACAGAGACACATAGGCACACAGAGAGACACAGAAAGCGGGCAGCCCTGACAGAACCAGCTGTGCCGTGTCCTTCTTCCACCTTCCTCTGAGAATGACAAGGACCAAGAGGAAGAGTGCAAGTCTGCCAAAGCAGAAAGAACATTGGTCCGAGACTGACATCAACAGGGCTATTGAAACCAGGAGCAGGGCTGGGTTTTGTTACATCTGCCTGTCTATTCTGTCAGCTGGAAGTCCCGCCCTGGTTAAACAATGCAAATAAAGGGCAAAAAAAAATAAAAAATTTACAACAACAATGAGACTCAATAACAGTGACAGCAATCGGTACGGGAGACGGAGAAAGGCCTTCTGCAGGTAGCTCTGTGGGGACTCGGGGCATGGTGAAAATGGTTGTGTGGTTTGTGTGCGATTCTTTGGGGTGAGAGGCAGGGAGAGAACGAGACCAGGGTGTTATTCCCTTCCCTGCCTCTCTTTCCCCTGATGGTTCTTTCTGCTGAGGTTGTGGAGAGGTAGAGGAGGCCAGCCTCCCTGTCCAGTTTCTGGTTCAGTTCCCCCTGGCCTGCAGGGGGCGATACTCAGGGATGGTCCTCACTCGGACATTGCTTCTTGGCTCCAAGATCGCTTTCTTCGGGCGTGTCGCTCTCATCTTTCCTCTTCAGTTTCCTGGCCTAGAGGGGGCAGGATCAGGCCACAAAGATTAGCCACAATTAATGTGAATGTTCCACCTAATGGGAGGCTAATAATGTATTAGGCAGCAGTTTTGTCCGTGATGGGAAAGTGCAGTACGTGCAGGTTGACTTCCAAAAACTTCAGTTAAGCAGCCTATGGTCTGCGCACTGCCTCTCATCATTTTCTTCAATTTGACATTCTGTACCATTAAGTCACTGCGACGCATTTGTGTCACATTTTACTTACACTCTCCTCAGCCCTTACTCCCCAGATGAGGCCATCTTACCATTCACTAAATCCACCAAAGCAGGCACCTTCTCACCATCTAGCTGATAGCCCCACTCCTTCCCTGCCCGCCATCCCATAACACCCAGCACTGTGCTACTCGCTCTCACAACCCTCCTCTCCTTTGTGCAGTCAGTCTAACTCCCCAACACAGTCGAGATTTAATTTCTGATGCTCATGCTTAGCCACCTTGTAGAACATTTTCAATGCAA